TAGTGGAGGATGGCCCAAGTGCTTGGGCCCTGCACCCGCATGGGAGACCAGGAGGAAGCATCTGGCTCCTGGCTTCAGATCGGCACAGTGCGCCAGCCATAGCAGCCATTTGGGGGGTGAACCAACAGAAGGAAGACTTTTCTCTCTGTCTCTGACTTACTGTCTAACTCTTCCTGTCCAAAAAAAAAAAAAAAAAAAAAGAAAAAAAAAGGTAAGCAACAAAATCTGGTCACTGTCAGCTGTGCGCATGACAGACCAAGGCTACGCGAGGCCGGGCCACTGGCTTGAGGTCACCCGCACAGCTGAGAGCCACGCTTGTACCCAATTCCACACAGCAGCTCAGGACGCAAACGTACTCTGCCCCTCCTCCACCCTCTGTCTGAGGGGGATGGGCCCCAGCCTTCTGGGCATCGATGGCAGGCTGCCCTCCAGCTAGAAGGACCCCTAAGGCCAAGCCTCAGCCTGCACAGGTCCCCCTGGGAAGCGTGTTCCCCTCTGTCTCTGGGGCCTGTCCTCGCCCAGGCATAAGTCTCCCAGCCTCCCTCGGACCACCCTGTGCCATCCTCTCAGATGCCACAGCTGACTTCAGAACCACACAGAGGTTAAGACGCCACTTTGGGGCGCCCCCTCCCCTATCAGAGCGCCAGTTCAAGTCCTGTCTCCACTTCCGACCCAGCTCCCTGCTAACGCGCCTGGGAAAGCAGCGAAGGATTGGCCCCTGACCCCTGTGGGAGACCCGGAGGAGGCTCCTGACTCCTGGCTTCAAGCTGGCCCAGCCCCAGCTCGCTCTGTCCCTCTGCCTTGCAAGTAGGTGAAAATGAATAACCATTTTGTAAATGGAGCAAGAAGAGAGCAAGAAACAGTGTTCAGACGTGTGATTGCCAAGACAAAATTTCCATGTGAAAAAAGGTGAAGAAATGTCTCGGACTGCGTGTGAAGAAGTAAAAATATCTGACATGCAAGTGGGACTTCAAAAAGTGCACGGAAAATAGCAATCAAAGATAAGTGTGTTTTGATGCAAAAATTTTGAAATCCATGCGCAATGTTTTCATTATATGCATTTTCAGGAACTTTTTAAAGACACCTCATATGCATGGATTTCAAAAGAAATTTTTGCACCAAAATAAACCAGCGCAAGATCAATCTAAGAAGTGCTGTGTTCATTTACTAGGAGCTAAAGGGGAAAAAAAATAACTGGAGAAAAAAACATATAAATCACACAAATGGCAGACTAGCATCCCCCAGTGTGAAGAAATCTGCAAGTCTTCAGGCGGGCGGGGCCCACAAGGCACAAGCAGAAGCCAGGGAAGAAGAGCCGCTCACGAAACACGCTCCTGAAACCCAGAATACCACAGGCGGCCAAGGGGAGAGGCTGCCAGTGCCCACTGGAAAAACAGACGCCCTTCAAAGGAGTCGGCGACACCGGCCGGGGTCTCGCAGCAGCGGCAGCTGGAAGCGAGGAGAGGGGTGCGCCCAGGCTGTCCTGGAGCCAACACAACCCTCAACTTACAGCCTGCTTTGAAAAGCCGCTTAATAAGTGCAGCCGCAAAATAAGTATTTTCAGGCATGAAAACGCTTAGAAAATCAACATCCCAAACATTCCTTTTGAAAAACATTTTCTCAGCATATTCTCCAGCAAAATGAAAAAGAAAGCCAAGTAAGAAAAAAAAATGAGAGAGAGAGAGAGAGGGGAATTTTTTTAAAAAGAATGGGCTGATGCGAGCAATTCAAGGAAAAATCCCAGGGTCACCTGGACGCAGAAACAGGAAAAATTCAATCCAAATCCCAAGCGGACATCAGGGAACTTGGAGGGGGAAAACCTTCAAGGTGAAAACATTTTCTTTTTTTTTTAAGATTTATTTATTTATTTGAAAGTTAGTTACAGAGAAAGGAGAGGTAGAGAGAGAGAGGGAGGGAGGGAGGATAGAAGGGAGAGAAAGAGAGAGAAGGTCTTCCATCTGCTAGTTCACTCTCCAAATGGCCGCAACAGACGGAGCTGCACCGATCTGAAACCAGGAGCCAGGAGCTTTTTCCGGGTCTCCCATGTGGGTGCAGGGACCCAAGGACTTGGGCCACAGCAGGAGCAGCCGGGTCTTGAACTGGTGCCCATATGGAATGCCGGCCCTTTAGGCCAGGGCGTTAACCCTCCTCGCCACAGAGCCGGCCTCAAAACATTTTCTTTAACAAAGAGTACAACTGAGTGATTGGATAGTGTTAAAGATGTAACAGACATGTATGTAGACATATATGTAGTTCTTTGGTTAAAAAGAAAAAAGCAAGGCAATTAGAAACTTCAACAAGAAAAAATAAAGGTATATAACAGTTATTTCAGAATAAAATAGTATACTAGACTACTGTAAAAATTATTGAAAATGTACTATATTGCAAATATGGCAAATTTCATTTAAAAGTCGATACTGAAGCTCAATAGTACTTGTTTTTGCAACAATAATACAAACAAAGCTGTTGGTAGCGCATAGTGTCGTGGTAGAAACAATATTCTACTAAGAAAGCCAAGTTACTAAATCAAGAAGCAGAAATTTACTTGGAATTGATGATAGCTTCCATAGAATTCATGATCAGATACAAACAGTCTGAAACATTCTACCGATTTAAGTAAAGCTGCAGCTGCCAGTATTTACAAATTATGAAAACACACATGCGTGCACAGTCGCTGGGCACCTTCACCACCGCGAAAGTCATTAGCATACATTTACACACCCCAGGGTGCGCACCTGCCACACACCTGGGCTATATGGGCTGTTTAAGGATTCCCAAAAATTCATGGAGAAATAAAGTCCAAAGTTTATTTTGGTGCAAAAAATTTTGAAATCCATGCATAGCTTTTCCATAATACATACTTTCCATGAACTTCTTGACATAGCCATCAAAAGAATTTTACAAGCTTGAGTTTTTATGTATTAATGATATGAGATCTTCAGTGCTAAAAATTTTTCAACTCTTTTACAATCTTATGAGGCCACCATCATATCTATGGTTTATTGCTGACCAAAAGATTGTCACATGGTGTGTGACTATATACGTGCTGCAAAAAAATGTATCATAAAGCTGATTTAAAAATTAGAAAGCAGGGGCTGGCACTGTGGCGTAGCAGGTAAAGCCGCTGCCTACGGTGCCAGCACCCCATATGAGCGCCGGTTCGAGACCCGGCTGCTCCTCTTCCCATCCAGCTCTCTGCTGTGGCCTGGGAAAGCAATAGAAGATGGCCCAAGTCCTTGGGCCCCTGCACCCGTGTGGGAGACCCGAAGAAGCTCCCGGCTCCTGGCTTCAGTTTGACACAGCTCTCACCGTTGCGGCCATTTGGGGAGTGAACCAGCAGATGGAAGACGTCTCTCTCTGTCTCTGCCTCTCCTTCTCTCTGTGTGTAACTCTTTCAAATAAATAAATAAATAAATCTATTAAAAAATTGAAATGGAAAACAAAAAAACATGTTTCAACACCACCTAGCAGATTTTAGAACTTCAAGAGTTTTTGAAGTCAAAGTATCCTACAATGATTGAAATTTTTTCTAAATGAGTCTTTTAAATTTTCGATGCGTGTTGCCCAAAAAATTGGAGATCCTTGATCAAATTATTCACCACATGGATTTTGTTTTTCAAGCTTTGAAAGAATTGTGTTAATTGGAAACAAAACTTGCAAACAAAAAGACATTGGAATTTATCCCTTAAAAAAAGAAAGAGAGAGAAGGTCAACACGTTAGACAGTGAGATCTCACCATGGAGATCCTAACAGGAGCGGGCATCTGGCAGAGTGGTGGAGACGGACACCCCCATCCCGCACCAGAGCGTCCAGCTGCAGTCCAGCCTCCTCCGTTTCCCGTCCAGCTTCCTGTTAATGCACTTGTGGGAGGCTCAAGTCCTCGGGTCCCTGTTACCCATGTGGGAGACCCAAGGAGAGCTGCAGCCCCTGGCTGTGGTCTGACCCAGCCCTGACTGCCGCAGGTGTCGGAGGAGTGAACCAGCCGATGAAAGACCTCTCTGTGTCTCTGTCTCTGCCTTCCAAATAAAAATGAAAACAGCTTTACGGAAGAGCGTCCATGGTGGCATTTCAGATACCCTGACTTGTGCCAAGGTCCTTCTGCTGGAGCTCCCATTTTCCATGAGGAAGACGAAGGGCACAAAACGGAGACGTGCCATTTTGCAGCATCTACATTTAATGAAGCGTTCAAAGAATGACAAATGAAAATGATAGAGTTGATGACCTTTGCCTTAAAAAATATTTGCTGGTGAGAGAAAGCGAAAGGGCTGTCCCTGGTAAAATACTGAGGCTGCAAGATGTTCCCATTCCAGCAGGAGGTTCCCCTGGGAGCATCCCGGGCTGGCTGAGAAAGCGTCTTCCGGGTTGCAGGTAAGATCTCCGACAGGAAGCCGGCCAGCTGGCAGTCACTCCAGTTACTCACCACAGAATGCTTCTTCAAAGAGTGTGAGGAATTTTATGAAAAAATAAATTTGATAAGACTGCAAAAGGTAATACCATTGACATCTTGTTAGAGACAATGGCTAAGAAACTGGCTAAAGTACATGACTATTTTGCTTTTTTATATTTCTACCTATTTGTATTTTATGTTTGTAGTTTTCTGTTATTTTTTAATCAATATAAAGACATGTTTTTGAGTTTTACTTTGTTGTACAGGAGTATACGTTACTTTTCTGTTTAGAATTTTCTTGTTGAAAGGGGCTGGTGCTGTGGCGCAGTAGGTTAGAGTCACAGCCTGAGGCGCTGACATCCCACAGGGGCGCCGGTTTGTGTCCCAGCCGTTCCACTTCTGATCCAGCTCCCTGCTAATGCGCCTTTGAAAGCTCTGGAAGATGACCCAAGTGCTTCGGCCCCTGCACCCACATGGGAGACCCAGAAGAAGCTCCTGGCTCCTGGCTTCGGATCGGTACAGCTCTGGCCGTTGCGACCAACTGGGGAGTGACCCAGTGGATGGAAGAGACCTCTCCCTCTCCCTCCCTCCCTCCCTCCCCCTCTCTCTCTTTCTACCTCTCCTTCTCTGTGTAACTCTGACTTTCAAATAAATAAATAATTTTTTTAAAAAATTCTTAAAAAAATATTCGGGGCCGGCGCTATGGTATAGCAGGTACCTATGGCAACCGCATCCCATATGGGCACTGGTTGAGTCCTGGCTGCCCTACTTCTGATCCAGCTCTCTGCTATGGCCTGGGAAAGCAGTAGAGGATGGCCCAAGTGCTTGGGCCCCTGCACCTATATGGGAGACCCAGAAGAACCTCCTGGCTCACTCTCGCTCTCTCTCTCTATCTCTCTCTCTCTCTATCTCTCTCTCTCTCTGTCTCTGCCTCTCTGTAGTTCTGCTTTTCAAATAAATAAATAAATCTTAAAAAAAAAAAAAAAGGTGAGACTGGCTCAGGGCTCACCCTCGTGACCTCCTTAATTGAATGGTCTCTAAATTCCGAGGGGATGAGAGGATAGTGTAGGGACCACCCGTGCGTGGGGACAGGATTCAGGCCACGACAGAGCCTCCACCCGGCAGCTTTGATCCAAGATGGGAAGAACCAAGAGAGCAGTCTCTATGACGTCATCACAGAACCACTCCACCTGTGTGCTGTGCTCCCTGCAGGGGGAGAAGAGAATCAGGCGTGCCCAGCCTGGGAGGGGTGGGGGGACACTGGAGCAGGCACAGCAGGAGGGGCTGCCATGGAGGCCACCTGAGGGGCGGGGCTAGGCTAGAGGGGAGCAACGGCTGGGGAAGGGCAGTTCATCCTCCTCAACAGTGGGGTGTTGAGCGACTGTGTGACCAACCCCAAGCACTTACAGCCAGAGTAGAGGGAGAGGAGGGAGGAGGAAAGACAGCAAGGGCTTTGCATATGGAAGGAAGGGAGCGCTGTGCAGTCTGGGCCCCTCTCCGGCTAGTCCACTGGGTCCCGGGAAGGGACACAGTATCCCTGATTCTGTGCACCCACGCCTCCCCTACACAGGCACACACACGTGCACACATGCACACGCATGCACACACGCACACACACAGGCACACATGCATATACATGCACACACAGGCACACACACACACACATTCACATAGCCCACTGCCCACACTTTTGTACACACACATCACACACTTGCATGATGCTCACACGCACTCACGTGTGTGCACACATAAACACACACACATGTCCTGCACTGCCCTGCAGCCTCCGCCCGGTGGTTGGCATGGCGCTGGCGCTCAGTCTTTCAGGCTAACACCTCCTGCTGTTGCACATCGGATCCCGGCTCCCTGCGTGCACGGGGAGCCCTCAGCCGTCCTTCTTGGGATCACAGAAACCCCTCCCCCCTTCTCCACAGTTGTGGCTGAACTCCCCGTACTTAGGGGACTTTTAATAAAATCAAATATTATTTTTACAATCAGGCAACAGCTAAGTCTTACACTTGACTCAAGGACTTGGGAGAGGAGAAACAAATTCTCTCCAAGCAAACCACCTCCCACTTTTTGGAAATAGAGGAACTTGAGCCAAACCTAATATCCTCCCAGGCTACAGGGCTGCAGCTTCTAGAGCCGACACTGATTGACTGATTGATTGATCACTTTGAAAGGCAGAGCAACAGAGAGAGGAAGAGACAGGAAGAGGGAGATCTGTCATCAGTTGCTTCCTTCCCCAAAGGGCCACGATGGCCGGGGCTGGGCCAGGAGCCGGGGACTCCATGTTAGTCTCCACGTGGGCGGCAGGGGCCCGGGGACACCCCAGGATGTGCACTGGCTGAGAGCTGCGGTGGCATCCGCGTAGCCAGGGCTCCAGCGGCGTCGCGGGTGGCTTAGCCCTCTGTGCCGCGGCACCGCCCCACGGTGCTCTTTAGGAAGAGAAGGGGAAGCACCTCCAGCGACAGTGAGTGGAGGGAACTCAGCGCAGGGCCCACCAGCGGGAAAGGACGGGTCCGCTCCCTGGAGGAGGCGGGGGGGCACCGGCAGGAGGCGGGCGGCCTCCGTGAGCGGCTGGCTCTCCCCAGCCCCCCCCCAAGTCCTCTGCTGACAGCTCCATGAACCCCCCTAAGAGGGGGCCACCCACAATTCTCCATGCTTAAGACACAGACTCTGATGCAAGACCCCCCAGTGAGAGTGCAATGATGCTGGAACACAGCGGCCGCTGTCTCCCACGGGAGCGGGATGCTTCGCCGACCTCAAGTGTGCTCCTCCTGTGTTACCTTTTCCCTCGGCGTCTTCTCCCTCTGGTGATGTCCCGGCACCCCGGATGGCTCGCAGAGCTAAATTAATTATAAAAGCAAATTAATGTCAACTGCACAGCAATGAAATTAATGGATTCAATCCATCCAGGAGGAAGTCATCAATTACGACGAGGGCCTGTGGCATTTTGGGTTACAGCATTTACGGCTCTTGCATGCGTTAATATCCCACCCAGCAAGGCCTGCCCCCAGGGTCATCAGCCAGGCAGTCTTGATTGACGGGTCAAGTGTCTTGCAGATCCCGCTGGTGTTCAAGTGCTAGGTGCTTCCCTCGGATCGAGTGCGTGCTCGGTGCTGCCAGCCCTGCGTGAACGTGGGGGACCTCCAGCCTCTCGCGCCGACCCCACCCCGGGATGGGGGGACACAAAGCAGACTCTGCTGTGACACCGACAGATCTCTCCGCCCAGCGGGAATTTCCCGACACAGAAGGGAAAAGTCTGCAGAAAACAGAAGTGAAACAGAAGTGCATTTTGGTGTAAAAAGAAAACGATTAGGTCCATGCACACTTTTCATAACTCGTGTTTTCCATGACCTTTTCAAGGACCCTCTAACGAGTCCCATAGCAGGGAAACCTCCCGACAGCCTCCTGCCAAGCTCGGCACACGGCTCCGGCCCCACGGGGGCAGGCTCAGAAGAAACAAGGACCACAGCCTGGCTCCGCTCCTGTCAATCAGAGGCCACGCGAGGCCGTCCCATTCCTTACCCACAGTGCATCTTCCTCCCAACTCCTCCTCTGGGGGCCACGAGAATCGCAGCCAGCCAGGCATCCCCTCCCAACCGCTGTCCAGAGTTCTCCCCAAGAGAACGCATCTGACACTCATCAGACACCAGGGCCCACACTGCAGCGCAGCGGGTCAGACCCCGCCCGTGGTGCCGGCACCTCATGTGAGCACCAGCGTGAGGCCCTGGCTGTTCTGCTTCCAATCCAGCTCCCTGCTAATGCGCCTGGGAAGGCGGCACAGGACGGTTCAAGTGCGTGGGCCCTGCACCCACGTGGGAGACCCAGAGGGAGCTCCTGACTCCGGGCTTCAGCCAGCCCCAGCCATGGTGGCCATCTGGGGAGTGAACCAGCTGAGGGAAGATCTCTCTGTATCTCTCACCCTCTCTCTGTAACTCTTTCAAGTAAATCTGAAAAATAAACAAATCTTTATCTGCCAGACACCTGGACTGTATGGGAAATGCCCACACAGCCATGTTCTAAAGGCAGACATTGCAGTAAAAGAATGGGTGATATGCTGGGGGGGGCACCTCCCAGGAGAGGTGGGGGAAGGGCCACCGAGCACATGCCCGCTGCTCAGCCTCCCAAATCATCGACACGCAAAATAAAGTGCGAGGTTACAGCAGAGCACACACACACACACACACACAGACCCAGCGACGAGATGAGAACGCGACGAGAAAGGCAAGACGCCAGGTGCTGGCAGCGCTGTGGCCGGAGCACTGGGCAGTCCACTGGGCAGAGTCCACCAAGCGGAATTCCTGGTGACCCAGAGCTCCACTCCCAGGTGAAGACCCAAAGTACTTGTGTTCGTACATTCACTAAAACACACGTACTAGAAAATTCACAGCTTTATTCAAAATAGCCCCAAAGGGCTGGTGCTGTGGCACGGTGGGTTAAACTGCCACCTGCAAGGCCGGATGCCACACGGGAGCTCTGGTTTGAGAGCCGGCTGCTCTGCGTCTGGTGCAGCGCCCTGCTAATGCGCCTGGGCAGGCAGAAGATGGCCCAGGTACCTGGATCCCTGCGCCCACATGGGAGACCTGGGTGCGTCCTCAGCCTGGAGCCTGGAGCCTGGCCCAGCCCAGATCCTCGCTGCCATCTGGGGAGTGAACCACAGATAAAAGATCTCGTTCTCTCTTTCTTCTGTCACTTTGGCTTCCAAATAAATGTTTAAAAAAAAAAAAAAACAGCCCCTGTGGGGAGCAATCTGGACTGGACTAAGTTACTGGAATTAAGACTTATTCTATGCATCTGCTCTCCCACAATATGGCGCTGGGAGAGGAGTAAACAGCTTCTACCCAGCTGCCTCCAGTTCAACCAATAAACTGTAGGACTTGCTCCTGATTGGAGGAGAGCAGCGTACTCGGCGTGTGGGCAGCCGAGTTGGGATTGGCAGAGGAGGACTATAAAGGAGGAAAGAGATGGCATGCACCGGGAACATCTAAGGGGAACATCTAAGGGGAACACCTGTGCAGCCCCCGAGAGAGCCGGCCGGCGGAGTGCCGCTTCCCTGCGGAAGTGGGGAAAGTGGCCAGGGGGAACTGCCCTTCCACGGAGGTGGAAGGGATAGTAGCCAACCCGGGAAGAATCAGCAGCAAACCCGGGGAGGGCCAAGCAGACGAAAGAACAGCGCAGGGTCCTGTGTCGTTCCTCCACGAAGAGGGGGAGTGACAAGCCCCACCATGAAAACCACCAAGTGCCCACGCACAGAGAATGGGATAGGGCCGGCAGGCAAAACTCAGGGCCGTTCCTTACAGTCACATCACCCCCAACAATGGCTGCCGTCTGCTACGGCACGGCTGGTCACACAACGCCGAGCACAGGAGACCAGGCAGGCGAGGACATAACATCCGATTCTACTCACACAGCAGTGACAATCATCCGCAGGTGGGCACCAGCCCCTGGAGGCCCTTGCTCACCCTGGGTCCCACTGCCACTGGGGATACAGGCACCCACCTGCTAGGGCTGCAGTGAGGAGGAGGTGCGGCCCGCGCCCGGCAGGAGGAGCAGCAGGTGGGCTGTGAGCAGGCCCCGGAGGCTGGCTGGGCTCCTCTGCCCCATTGAGAGACAGCGGCTGGCAAAGACAGAGCAGCCAAACCAGCTCCCAGCCAAAGCCTTCACAGCTGCTCAGAGTCCAGACCCCCTGGACTTACCGACAACACTCGGTGCAGCCGCTCGCCGAGAAACCACTGGTGCCGCGCATGTCGGAGGACCGACCTGTGCCTAGTGCGGCTGCTCAGACTCCCACACCTGCCCAGCCCGGCAGCCCCGGGGCTGCGCTGTGTGCACCTGCTTTCTCGCAGCTCCTGCTGGGGCCGGGGCTGCTCTGACTAGCCGGCCAGCCCTGGGGCAGAGCCTGGACATCCGAGAAGGAACGACATCCCCCTCCCAGGAGCTGTGGTCACCTGCTGGAGCATAGGACACAGGCCAGGAGCCCGGGGACACATTGCCAAGGTGCACACAGCACACATGCCACCACCTCCCCCAGCCCCACGTCACTCTCACACAAGGACGTCCCGCTCCTCTCAATCCTGCCACCCTTGTCATGGCCAGGCGATAATGGGCAGAAGTGAAAGTCTACCCAGGACAACTGGCAGCCTGCAGGCCACTGGTGCTGCCCGTGGGCCTGGGGGACCTCCAAGGGGCAGGGTTCTCCGAATGAAGCAGGACCTGGCAGGACATTAGAACCGATGCTGTGAACGCTGAAGGACCAACACATCAGCACCACGGCCAGTGGTGCAGGCGGGTTATCAGGTCCACCCTTGGGGACAGTGTGGTAGGAAAGCCTGGACACAGGTGACCAGTCAAAAGAGTTTTTAAAAAGATGCATTTTATTTGAAAGGCAGAGTGAGAGAAATGGGGCGGGGGGCGGGAGGGAGGGAGAAAGAGGAAGAGAGAGAGAGACCTTCCATCTGCTGGTTCACTTCCCCAAATGGCTGTAACAGCCAGAGGCAGGGCTGGGCCAGACTGAAGCCAGGAACCAGGAACTCCATCCTGGTCTCCCACATGGGCGGCAGGGCTCCAAGTACTTGGGACATCCTCCTCCTCTTTCCCTGGACCGGAGCGGGGCAGCTGAGGCTCCAGTGTGTGGTGCTGGCCTCACGAGCGGCAGCGTAACCGGCTGCACCACAGTGCTGGCCCCCAGTGCAGAGACTCTGAGAGACCCAGGAGGAGCCGTGGGGCCAAGCCAGCAAGGAAAGCCATGGACAGATGGCGTCAGCAAGCTGTGGTGACAGTGAGGCTGATCTCGGGGCAGAGGGCTCAGGACAGCTAGTGGGTCTGGGAAAGAAGCCAGGCCAGGGGCTTACCCAGCAGGCAAGTGCTCTCGTGGCCCCGCCACGCCCAGCCACTCAGGGGATCCTTCCTGCTGGAGGACGGAGCCAGGCCCCTACCTCACCTCTGCAGCTGAGGTCCATGGGAACGGCCATCATGAAACAGAAAAGGAGAAGACCATGAGAGGGAGAGAGCCAGGTGCCCACCTGCCTCTGAGGGTCCCCTCTGCCCCAGGGGTCCCTCGGGTCCCCACAGAGGAACCTGTTGCGTCCTGCTAACGATGGCTGCCCGTGCCCTCCAGGCCTAACCCCTGGTGCGTGGCCCTGTGACCCCATCTCTGCAGGTCTTGCCTGGTCCCTCCCGTGGTGACCTCGGCCTCTGCGCTCTGTCCTGGGCATGGATGCGGCCATACCCTGGCCCCCAGGTGGCGAGCGCAGCACTGATGTATTTCTGAAACCTGTGTGCAAGGCAGATTTCCCATGCATGCAGCAGAGCGAAGCCAGGGATACAGATTTTTTCGAGGCAGCACAGAAGTAATGAGCTCATCACTTCTCCTTACCGCCTGGTCCCACGTGCACAGACTGCAGAGCGACTTCCTCCCCAAATCTTCGCCAGCCCTCGAAAGCACCCACAGGCTCCCCAGGCTGCCCCAGGGGTTCTGGGGGCCCTGTAGGACCCAGGGCACCTGAGGCACCTGCTCCGGACCACACCAATGAGGAGGGCAGAGACCGCGGCTGACTCTCGGAACGCGGCGTCCCCCACATCACAGCTTAAACAGGATCTGGCTGCCCAGACTCATGCAGATTTAAACGCCCAAGGCCGGTGTCGGTGGTTAACGGAGGATGGAGACTTGACCCATTCTGGTGTCTGGGAGGTGGGCCTGGTGGGAGGCTGTGAGGTGGAAGGGCCTTGCCTCACAAGGCAGTTGCTACGACAAGGCTGGTTTCATGCGTCCAGTTCAGCCCAGCCTCTCTTGCTCCCTGTCTCACCGGCACCACCCCTCCTCCACGCTCCGGCTCTCCCCGGGACCTCCAGAGGGTAGCTGAAACCTCCTTCCTCCTAAGTGGCTCCCCTCGGGTTAGGTAGAGAGAAGCTGGGGCCGGCGCTGTGGCAGAGGGCTGAGCCGACGCTGTGGCAGAGGGCTGAGCCGCGGTCTGGGACAGCAGCATCCCGTGTCAGAGCCCCGGCTGTGTCCTGGCTACGCTGCCTCTGATCCAGCTCCCTGCTAACGCACCTGGGAAGGCGGTGGAGCTCGGCTAAGGTGCGTGGGCCCCTGCCACGTACGTGGGAGCCCAGGGTGGAATTCCCGATTCCCGGCTTCAGCCTGGCCCAGCCCTGGCTGTTGCAGCCGTTTGGAGAGTGAACCAGCGGGTAGAAGATCTCTCCGACTCGCCCTCTCTCTGTCACTCTGCCTTTTAAATAAAAAAAAATAAAAAAATAAAAAAAAAGTGATGAAAATCTTACAGGTGCACCAATAGCCTGCAGTCCTTCCCTGGACTCAGGGCACAGCCTGGCGGGGAAGGGTGGAGTCGGGGGGGGGGGGGGGGCTTGCACTGCCGCCTCCCTCTCTACCCCTCTTCCACCCTGGTCTTGAGATTGCACCTCCTCGGGGCTTCTCTCCCCCTCGCCCACCACCCTGCCGTCTCCCAGCCACCGAGCCCAAAGCCTGGGGTGTGGGAGATGCTCCCCCTCATTAACCTTCCATGGCTCCCACCACTTACAAAAGCAAGGCCACCCTCTTGTCCTGCAGCACCTGGTCTCAGGCCACCTCCCAGGCCTCAGCTCCAAGAGTAGCCTTCCACCCCCGCGGCAACTCCTCCCTGATGCCCAGAGGAGGGCGCTTCCTCCTCTGCTCCTCTTCCTCCTCTTCCTCCTCGGCGCCTCAGGGCTTTCCTGCTGCTCTGCCTGCCACAGTGCAGCCAGTCCCCACCTCCTCCTACCCTACGGCCGCCTCGGGGGTGGGGAGCTCAGCTCCTGCTCTCGGAAGCCCCTGAATCCGTTCAGGCGACGCCCATCAGCCCAGAATCTCGGTGGCCTAACACAGTGACAGCTGGGGTCTCCCGCCACGTCCAGCGTGGGTGCTCCTGGCCGGCAGTCTCCCCCGCCCCCGCGCAGTCAGCAGTCAGGCGCCGTCCATCCCCAGCCCTGCCCTGCCCTGCCCTGCCCTGCCCTGCCCCGCCCCGCCCTGCCCCGCCCCACCCTCAGAGTCCTACCTGTGCAGAGGGCACACCCATCTCTTAGTCTCATCACTCAGGACGCGTGTCCTTTCCACACGCATTCTGTGAACGAGGCGTCACCACATGGCCACACCCTGGAGGGACTCCTGCCCACAGCGGTACCTGGGCTCATCGGCGTGCACCGCGGCGTGTGCAGGGGTGGGAGAAAGAAAAACTCCGAGGGGGGCAGGACTCACACAAACCTGCACCGAGACCTACTGGGTGCCGAGTGCAGTGAGGCGGGCACTCACGTTGGGGCTGCACGGGGCTGGGGCAGCCCAGACTTGAAGCCAGACAGGGCGAGTCCTTCCCAGGGCCGCGTCGGACTCCGGCACGAAATGAGAAGGTGCCCACCTCTGGGGTGGGGGCACAGGCGGCAGACTGCGCACAGTAGGTACTACTCGCGGGCAGGTTGTGACTGTTACTGATCTCACTGAAAGTGACCCTCCAGGAGCCCGGGCAGCAGCCCAGTGGCAAAGTGGCAGGGCCAGAACACACCCCCACCTGTGATTGCCCGGGACCAAGCGGCTCCCCAGGGCGTCCACGAGCCGGCCTCTGCCTCCCAGGCTCAGGCCCTGATGAGGTCGGAGGATCCTGGGGTCCCTGCCGGACTTGGGGCCTCCCTCATCTGAGCAAAGCCCTGGGGTGACCGCTGGCTGCCGCCCTCCCACAGGAGGCTGGCCTCACTCCTCCTGGGCTGAGATCTGCTCGCTTGTTCGCCCAGCCCTCCTGCTCATGCCCATCACCACCTGCCCAGTGCACCCCCTCCGCTGCTGGCCTCGGCCAGGAGTTAGGAGCCTCTGGTCCACACTCCCCACCCCCTGCCCCCTGCACCGTCTCCCCGAGCCAAAGCTGCCGGGAAAACTCTCCCGCTTCTCTTTCAAGTCCTTGCTCCTCGTGCAGGTGCAGCCACAGCCGGAGCCCAAGAGCCGTGTTGCCTGCCAGTGACCAGCCGCATGTCCGGCAGGGAGGCGCCATGAGGCCCTGCCTGAATCGCGGTGCAGTCACGGCGGCCGGGCCGAGGGGCAGCAGGACCTCCAGAACTGACCCAGCACAAAGCCGGAGAGACTAACAAGTCCCAGCCGTTCTGGCTGCCGAATGCTGCCAGGAGAGACCCTCGGGCCGTGGAAACCACGCCCCCTGCTGGGAGAGGCCCTGACCTGGCTGGACCAGCTAGCCTTTCAGCCATACCCATGCTGGTCAGTTTCTCTCACCCCACCCCCACCCCGAGCTGGCCGCCATGTCTGGGTGGGGGAGGGGTGCATGGAGGAGCCGCCCGCCCCCAGCTCAGCTTCCAGTGCTGCGTGTTTGATCCTCACCAGAGAGGCCGAGGGACTGGGCAGGGACGGCGACAGGAGGTCAGGCCGGAGCAGGCATCTACGGCCCCCACACCGCCCCCAGCCCACGGCCTTCAGGACCCTGCGGCTGGTTAGTGCTGGACGCATCCTCCTCTCCCTCCCAGGCTGCGTGCTCACGAGGTCGAGGCGAGCGCCAGGAAGGGAACGAGCCTCATCGCTCTTCATTTGTACCCTCAGCCGCTGGCAGGCGCAGCCCCGCACCCGTGTGCGTGCGCAGCGCGGGGCTTCCGGCCCCGACCCCTCCCCCGCCTCCGTCCCGGAATCAGGCAGGGACATTTGTCATCTTGAGCCTCTCAGACATAAATCCCGGCAGCCTGCGGGTCTTCACAAAGCGCTGGGAGTCCTCCAGGCGCTGAGGGCCAGGCCCTGCCCAGCGGCTGCAGAGGATCTGACCACAGAGATCCCGGGACAAACCATAATGTTGGCCGGTGCCGCGGCTCACTAGGCTAATCCTCTGCCTGCGGTGCCAGCACCCCGGGTTCTAGTCCCGCTTGGGGCACCGGTTCTGTCCCGGTTGCTCCTCTTCCAGTCCAGCTCTCTACTGTGGCCCGGGAAGGCAGTGGAGGATGGCCCAAGTGCTTGGGCCCTGCACCCGCATGGGAGACCAGGAGGAAGCACCTGGCTCCTGGCTTTGGATTGACACAGCACCATTTGTTGGGTGAACCAATGGAAGGAAGACCTTTCTGTCTCTCTCACTGTCTAACTCTGCCTGTCAATAAATAAATAAATAAATAATAAAACCATAAATAAAATAATAAAACCATAAATAAAACCATAAATAAAACCGGAGTCAGCTCCGATACCAGGCCAAGGCCGTCGGCACCAGAGCCCAGATCTGCAGCAGAGAGAAGAGGGCTCAGCCACCACCTGGCTGCTCCCTCTGACCCACCCCCTGAGTTCTCCCCAGCCACTCTGCACCTGCCCTCCCAGCACCTCCCACGGGGCCTCGGCCTCTGTCCCTTGCCTCCAGGGAACCCCACTCTGGTGCCCTGCACGCGTCCCCTGCCCACATCCAGCCAGTGACACCGCGTGAGTCAGCTCTGACCCTGCTGACCGGGGCCTCTGTGCTCCTGGAGCCAGGCTTGCCCCCCTCAGCTGCACAGACCCACGACCCGCTCGGCCTCCTCCTCCTCCTACCTGGATTCAGTGTGGCCCCTGGGTGCTGCCTCTCTGATCACGGCCCCTCCTGTTCTGCACCCCGCAGACGGCCACTCCCAGCCCGAACCCCGCCTTCTGAACTTCCGGCCCATCCCAGACCCTCCCTTCTGCCGAGCAAGAAGGGGAGAGGGTGGGCCACCGGGCAGGACCCGCTGCTCCCGGCCCGTCATCTTCTTCAGTTTCCTTCTCTCTTCCCAACCCTTTCCACGGACCCTGAGGACAGAGCATTCCATTCCTTTTTGTTGGACAGGCACGTGTTGCTTAGCAACAGGGCTGGGTGGTGAGGACAGCATGGAACGTTCTTCCACAAATGACGTCACCAGGCTAGACACTCTCCCGGGCCGCCATCACACCTGCTGCCCGGCACACGACGGCCCCTCGTTCTGTTGATCTCTCGTCGGTGGGCAGACATCCGGGTTGCTTCCGCTTCCTGCCTGTCATGAATGACGCAGCTGTGGACGTCTGTGTGGACGGACGATCTCAGTGCTCTCGGACACAAACGCGGTGTGGGATGCGGGGTCTCTGGGGGCTCTGTTTCACTGAGCACCTTCCTTACAAAGGCCGTCCCTCCTTTCCACTGCACTTGAACCAAGGGTGGTTCTGAGCCAGGAGCTGCTGGCCGCCACAGAGCCTGAGGAAGGAGCCCACAGGGGCAGAGCAGAGAGGCGGAAGGGAAAGCACGCTCAATGACTCGGCGCCAGTCAGCGCCCGCGGGTGTCGGGGCAGGAAGCCACCCCGGCGCCCTTCCATGCTCAGCTTCCCATTCCCTTTAAACTGCCCTGAGCTGGGTTTTCTAGTGCTTGAGACCAAGAGTCCTAACTGGCACTGCTGTGCCTCCCGGCGCCGGGCTCCCGCTCACGTCAGCTTGGATCCCAAGTAGAGGGCACGGTGGACGCCCAGCCTGTGCTGTCAGCGGCGGCTGAGCTGTCCCGGGGGTGAGCACCGAGACCAAGGCTGGACGGGAGGTGGCTCTGCAGCCTGCAGGACCTGGCTGTCCCAGGTGCCGTCTTCCTCCTCCCGACACTCCCTGTGGCACTCGCCTCTCAGAGCGGACCCCTCCCCTCTGTGGCGGGCATTTGACATCGACCTCTCCTCCCCATAAGACCGCCTCTGCCTTCGTGGATGAAGCTCATCACCACCTTTTAGGCCTCCAGCAAGGCTGTCCCAGCAGGCCCCAGGTCCCCCTGGCGGGCTCCTTGGCGTTGCCCAGATGGAATTCCCAGGTGAGTTTCCAAACTGACCAAGTCCAGGCTGCCAAAGGTTCCTGGCAGTGGCTCGGTGTGAGATGCACCGGTGGCCAACGTTCAGGGGTTGCCATGGGCACCGTTTCGATCCTCCTCCCACAGAGCCAGGCTGAGCGGCCAGGAGAAACAGGCAGAGGCCGCACTCACTGACTCACTCTGGTCACACGCAGGCAGGACACTGCCTCTGCCTGGGGACTTGGGAAGAAAACACCCACGCAGGCCTGCACCCCAGGGTGAACCCCCGGACCGCTGGCAGGTGCTGAGAGTGGAGCAGAGATGGACAAACGCCTGTGCACACGGTAACAACTAAGACACGTGTGGGCGGCACTGTCCCTGCAAAGCACTGAGCCACGTGAGGACAAGCGAGCTGCCCCAGTCAGAACCCCACCACCACTCTGGTTCGACTCCACCCATTTTTTGGCCATAAAGAATGAGCTGGAGGAATCTGAGTCAGAATTAGCCAGCACCCTCTTTCTCACGCTCCCACACTGGCATTAATGCTGGCCAACGTGGCCTTGGGTTAATTAAACTTATTAATAGAGGTGGCAGTGGAGAGCCAGTTTCCTCCCATGCTGAGGTATTTCACAGAGAGCTAAAGGTGGGAACAAAGCCGGCCCAGCAATGTCCCGTAAAGCCACGCACGCTGAGGGCTCCTAACATAGGGTCCGACGCAAGCACTGCACATCTGAGCTCCCTGAGGACAGGAGCCAAGTCCCTCCCAGGTCACGCTCCAGTGTGTGCCTGGCTCAGCTCACAGCTGCGCACAAGGAACCCCTTCCATGAGGCTGGGCGGTGAGCTGGGGGCCTTCACTAAGCTTTGCAAGGAAGCGACTGCACCCCCGAGAACTCCCTACCACACGGTAAACACGCAGCCACCCGGAGCCAAGGCCAAAGGGTCCTTTCCCTTTCCCAGAACCTCCCACCGGGCAGCTGAGCCCACCTGAGCAGGTGGGAGGGACTTCTCACCCTCCTCCCCACCACCAGCCCCGAGCCCCCCTGCCACCCTCTAGACTGCCACATCTCCTTCCTCGTCCCTGGCCTTTGTCGATCCCTCAGTCCCCTGGTTTGCCCGGCTGTATGACAGGGGTGGGTGGAGGGGCAGGGAGAATATTGGGGTCCTGTGGGGTGGTGGGGAGAAAGCCCATCAAGATCCAGCTCAGGGACAGACACCCACCTGGCCCTGCTCGGACTGACCAGGGCCATGAGCTCCATCCCTTCTCTCTACCCCCCGAAGTCTTCTCCCCCTTGGCAAAACCAT